TACCATGAAAACGTTTCGAAAAAATGGGAATTATGTAAATACAAACGTATCGAAAATAAAGTCCACGCTTACTTTCACCGTTTTTTCAAAAAAAGTTTTATTACATGGTAATAGAAAAATTGACATAAAAAGGCAAAATGCAAGGGGATTTGCGTGTTGCCGGTAAATAAGAAAAAGTGCCTCGGAAAAAAATTTGTGGGTAAAAAAATATGGTTGGCACATTTTATTTCACACCGCTAAGTTGGATACGACTTCAGATACTCCGGGAACTTGACTGTTTGACCTGATCGTGTTTTCCGTTGCGCCGATGGTTGTTGCAACTGCGCATTACCAGGCACATCGTCAAGAATTTCGATAATTGAGTTATCCGTCGGTTGGCTGTAGCGGGCTGAAACGTCACTTATAATGGGGTTGCCTTCGAAATAAGCTGGTTTCAAACGGTCGATACTGACAGTATCTTCACGTCCGTCTCGCTCAGTTATGTAGAATTTCTCGTGTCCCTTGATCACTGAATGGCCCATCGTAGGGTGGTTCAAGTGGTGGACGAACGGCGTCGTGGCGAATAAACACGTGTGATGTTCTTTGTGAACTGGGGTGAACGAAGACATCAGTCGTTTGAAGTCTAACCGGAGAAGGCCCAACTGAACGTATTGAGTTTGTAAGCCCAGTCACATAAGATGCCCTCTCGGAAACATGTTTGAAAATTGAAGGAGAAACAAACTCACCTGGCAGGCGAAGAGTGGTCCCACAGAAGAGTTCTGCAGGAGTGCATCCAACATCAACTTTCAAGGCGTTAGTAGGACTAGAGGCAGAGCCTCGGTCCACTGAGGTATGTTTGCAGCTGAAAGGGAAGCTCTACCATGTCATTTGCTTGTGGATGGTGGTCTGTCGTTCGGAACCGAGTGCAACCTAAAAGTGCCATTAGAGTGCGAAATAATCCACTCTCAAATTGGCGCCCACGGTCGGTTGTGACGTAAGATGGACATCCGAAGTTCGCGATCCATCTTTCCACGAAAACACGAGCTACTGTTGCAGCAGTAATATATCCTTAACAGGTACTGCTTCCGGCCATCGTGTGAAGCGATCTACACAAGTGAAAAGGTAGGTGCATCCGTTAGATTCTGGTGGACGTCCTACGATATCTATATGGACGTGGTCGAAACGCACGTCTGGGCCCAGAAAAGAGCCTAAGGGGCTTTTCGTGTGTCGCGTGACTTTGCACTTTTGACAAGCTAGGCACGACTGAGCCCACTTCTTAACGTCTTTGTTCATCCCAGGCCAGCAGAAACGTTGTGCGATAAGCCTAATGGTGGCTCGTACACCTGGATGGAGAGTTTGTGCAACGTACTGAGGACGTTGCGTAGACAACTGTTCGGAACTATTGGGCGTGGTTGACTAGCACAGACATCGCACAAAATTGTATCCTTGTCTTATCCAACCGGACAAAGTCGCAGCTTGAGAGTTGTGGACGACAACTCATGATGCAGCTTAAGGTCTTCCTTTTGACGCCGAGCTAATTCAACGAGATTAACGCCCTCGATATGATTTATCGAAGCCATTTGTACATCGGCTACGGAGTTATTTGCTCCAGAAATGTGGCGGATGTCTGACGTGAACTGGGAAATGTAGTCAAGCTGCCGCGACTCACACGGGGGGTGTTTGTCAGACGCCGAGCTGAGGGAAAACGTTAACGGTTTGTGGTCTGTGAAAATAATGAAATCACGACCTTCCATCAAATGTCTGGCTTCAAGGCTTCAAGGCGCGCTCCTTGAGTAGTGACGTGTTTCGCTCGTCTCTCAGCTTTTGGATTTTTCCACAATGAAAAACTCCCACTTGCAATACTCAATCTAAAAACATCGAACGTTTGCAGCACTTCTGTCCGTCCACGCACCTCACCCCTGCGCATTCGTCAGCTCACTCCTCAACAGTTGAAAATTGGCATTATTATTCCTTTGAACCAACCGGTCTACCTCCTGTCAGTGGTTCTTGGGCGTTTCAGCTGCCAAACTGCCTTAGCTCTCGGTTCTCCTCGGAGGTCATTCCCCAGGAAATATCTTTCCTGGTTATACATACGCATCTGGAGCTTACGGTTAAACTCGTTGGTCAAGAGCAGAGGATCAAGTGACAAGTGTCTGAAGGTGAGCCAACATAAATTATCTTCCCTTTTCTATTCTGTCCTTTTCCTGCATTCAGTCTTCAACCCTCTTATTGTTGTTAACTACTTGTTTTCCCAAGAAGTTTATATCATAGCGACATGTCTGCCCAAAACGCTAGGTCTGAAGCTTTGACACGGATAACGCGGTCGTGCACAACAACGGCCAGTAACACCCTAAACAACACACTAGTCTGTACTAGAAGACAAACAGAGGTAGGGCAGAACATCGAACTTCTAAAGAAGTGGCCAACCCATGTTTCTAGAATTCCAGTAGCCATCAGACAGGTGACACAGAGTAGCACTAGCCCGTCACAAACTAGTCCTATCTTGAGCAAGGATCATACCATGCCTGAACATAGAAGACGACGTAAAAGGCTTCAGAACAAGGCAGCCACAAGCAGTTCGCCACAATCCGTAGCACCTTATTCATGGAAGGAAGGCTGTATTACGACACCCGATGGCTGCAGTGTTTGCACCAAAGTTGTTTCGGTAGTCGATGAGGCATTTGCATGCAACCTGTGTCAACGATGGGTGCATTGCCACTGCGATACCAAAGTCCCCCGACAATACTATAAGCTGATGAAGAGACAACCATGCAAGTGGTTCTGGTACATCTGTCCAGAGTGCAGGAAAATGCCCGCACTCCGCACAGAAAGCCTGAAGGAGATGCTCTCCGCCACGCAAAAGCTACCAGCATCCCCGAATAAGGTAGGGTTAACACCAAAGGATAACACAGAGAGACCTGGAAACAGACCTAGAGCTCCAGCTGTGGGCACGCCATCTCGCGTGGGGACCATATTAGGTCAAGTCTCCATACCCCCACCCGGCCCCAGGGGACGTCAAGCGCATGGCCAAAGACATCGACCGCCGAAGCCTCTACGAAACCCATTCCGAACACCCCACACACCGTGACTGAGAAACAACCAGTGGAATTACTCAAACCCATTGGGAAGTCGGGCGTGCCACCCACAACGAACCCAGGTCACAGGAGGACCAACTCGATCATTTTGTTCAACGTCGATGTATCGACAGACTCATTGTTGGTCGAGAGGGAACAATTTGACAGCCGAATGTGGACCGACTACTGTCAGATGCTGGGACTCCCTCCCCTCCCTGCAACTTTGTGTCGCCTTTCTCGAGGAAGCCATGCACCCCGAGATAAGCCACCCCTTTACGTGTGTCCCTAAATACCGCCAAAGAGGCTGAAGACACACTCCTCCTCTCGCGACAACCGGACGTTGTTAATGCCTGTAAAATTCGGGCCAGGCCTGACAAGCCATGGTCAGTAAGAGAGGAGGAGAGAAAGTCAGCGGTTGGAAATCCCAACAGAAACAACACTATAGTTGTACATGGGATTCCAGAATTGCCAAGTGACAGCTCGGTCAAAGATCGGTACTTTCACGACGTCCAACAATGGCAATGGCTCTCAACCAAAGTTGGTCTCAACAGTATACCGGCCAACAGCGTCAGTAGACTGCCAAGGCCAGCGCACCTGAAGACCATACCCAATCCCAGACTACTTGCCGTCCAGTTCGACTCATATGCCTCCCTCACAGACGTTCTGCACGCATGGTATAATGCGAAAGATCGCATGGGTGGCTCAATACGTATATGTGAAAGTAAGCCTAGACCCACAAGGCAAGAGGAGAGACGGCAACCACCAAGACCTCTGGAGTCAGTGGTCGTCACACAGGCGCTGACCAGTGAGTTAGATACATCAAGTAAAGAAGCCACCACTGCTACAGCCCCCACCCAAGTTAAGAACAAAACACAAAAAAACGGAACAATGCCAGTCCTATGAGGACTGGCGAGGCTAAACCCAACCACGTAAGCGCTCATCCCGCGAAAATACACATCCAGACCTCCCCCTCATCAGGTACACTCTAATATGTATGTACAGCAACGTTAGGGGGCTAATAGGGAAGGTAGCAAAAATGAGGACGCTGCGTGAACATCAGCACTCCGACATCATATTCATCACCGAATCCTGGCTCTCATCGGACATCTCCGACGAAGAGATGCGTGTTGCTGGCATGGAACTCTTCCGCAGGGACAGGGAACATAGAGCAGGAGGGGGAGTGGCTATCTACGTAAACTCCTGTTTAAAGGCAAGGATGGTTAGCGATACGGCCTTAACCCAGCTCCCAGAGTCTCTATGGTGCTACTTCACTCTCTTCTTTATTCTCTCTTCATTCCTTTACCACTACCTTACTATTCTCTTCCAGGTACCTACACAGACAGGAGTCATGGCAGTTCTCTAAACTTCCCAGCAACCCGTAGCTCCCTAATCACTCTACAAATTACAACCTACTAACCCACAAAACATCCACCTCACCGAAGCTAAAAGCAAGAAAGCAGAGGGGATTTCCTCGTCCACTGCAGGAGTAAACCGAACAACTGGAACCAAGCCCTAAGAACTAGACGCGAGAGATCAAAAACTACTAGTTTTCTACGCTCGCACTATCAATATTGGATTGGATTGGATTGGAAGGTCAGCATCAATGTCGAAAGTCGTCAAATCCTAGGCTATTGATTTTGGGGAAGTGTGTGACGCTGCAAAACTTTCCATATTGACCATATAGCATGAAAATGGAATATGAAACGGATACTCATGGAGCAGTTAGGTTTTCGTGATCGGATCAACAGTTAAATCCTATTTCCCTGAGAAGTGACTGAGATCAGAAGTTGTTTGGCGTGAGAGAGAATCAAGAACTTGAGACTTTCATGACATAGATAATCAGAATCTTTTCTTATATCTTTTTTGGAACACTTATGAAAGATATTGTTGTTTAATTATTCTACATATGGTGCAGGTTGCTACTCTTTCTTTTGAGTTGTGCGCAACATGACCGAAGTAGATATCAAAGTCATCAGGAGAACACAAGAATCTCTGGGGAAAATTATAAAGAGACCAGTCCTCACGGACAAACTTTTGGGGAGGCCTCCTTTTCGATTTCTACACGATATTTGCACAGCAGTGAGTCGGTTTACCCAAGGTCTTATATTTTTTCTAGATTATCAGGGCGACAGGAGTGATGAAAGGTTTATATACACAAGAAGAATTAAATGCTGATAATGTTAAAGATAAGGACAAAAAGTTGGCATTTCTTCAGAAACTGGTAGATTTTTTGGCTGTTGTGCATGGTCGCCCTATTCCCATTAGAATTATGAGTATTGTTGCGGGGAAGGAAGCAGAGAAGACGAACGAAATGCTCTACTTACTTGCCGAAGCTGTTAACAAAGGGGTTTGGCTCATTTGTTGTTCATTGTGACAGGTTAACAATGAAGAATGTGTAGCTCGTGTACTTCATGGTATGCATAAAAATGAAACCAAAACGAAACAAGTTGAAAAGCGACAAGAATCTGAAACCAGACGACCAAAGGAAAAAGCTGACAGTGGACAAAATGTTTTCGATAACCGAAGGAGGCAGGCGAAAAAAAACCGAAAAGAAGAAAATCAAGATGATGAAAAACCTGATAAATTGGCAAATGGTCCCTCAACTGATGGCGATAAAAATATTGGGTCTAACAGAATGGTAATAAAGATGTGTTTGCAAGCATTTTTGAGACAGTATTCAGTGTTAAATATTAAGGATAGTATACTGGTTATCCTCGGTGATAATTGTCTTAGATATCTCAGTGAATAACTGACTTCTCCTTCAACATGTTCACTGAATTATATGATACCACTTGCTATAGTGAGGAGTTTCAGTTTTTGATCACTTGGACAAATGCAGGTCGTTGCTAAGTGAAATTCGATTGTGGTTTCTAGACTTTCTTGCAGCGTTCTTGGAGATAGCTAGTCATTGCAAGAGAAAAAAAAATAGAACATCAATCTCGAAGTCATTGCTTAGGCTACGGAAAGCTAGTTTAAAATCACACTTTTACCTGTGATGTGGATGAAATAAAATTAGTATATCAAATCGATCCTAACACGGTGGATGGGAAAGGCTGACTATAAGCTACGTACTCACCTTCTGATCACGTGCAAGTACGTTTCTATGTTCGGACTAGCTACCTGAATGCAGTAGTCTAGTTGAAGTCTTACATATATCAACTAAAGTATCCTGATCGAAAATTTTGAAACCTCTGCTTACAGGGCAAAACAAATGGAAAACTCCCGCCCCAGCTTTATTTGGGTGTGTTGATGTCTTCAGACCATGGCCCACTTTTATGCATGAGTCTTTTGTTTCAAAAATCGAGAGTTGTGTACTTCTACCTGAATACTGGAGGCAACTACTATGACTAATATGCATTGTTGCACTATTATTAGAGTTAATCTCTATGTTCAAACGTTTGGACCCACCTGTCGGTTCATTCAAGTCCACCTGAAGTCCACGATGATTAGCGTCATTACGTATGACTGCGTACGTCTATATTATCATTGAGCCAGAACACCGAAGAGTTGGGTATTTGTGGTAGTTGGTTATCATATGGAAGGGAAAAGATAGGACCAAGGACTTTCCCCCCAATAATGCCACTCATCACAGGCTCGCACTTGAATAGAGTCCCATTAACCATAAGTCTTTGCATTCTTTGCTACAGAAGATCCTTAATCCAGGCTTTTAGTATAACACCAAAACCGAGAATTGGGGCCTTTCCGAGAAAATTCACGTGAGAAACTTTGTCAGAAGCTTTACTGAAGTCTGTGGACATGGGATTTATTGGCAGTTCGGTATCACATGCTGCAACCTATTCGTCTCTTGCAATGAGGAGGTTTGTTAAATAAAGGTGCTGTATCCGAAAACAGTGTTACTAGAGTACCAAAATATTATTTGATTGAAAATGGATAAGCGTAAGTTACTTTTTCCAGACCCTAAATGACTATACTAGTTAAACTGATAGGGCGATAGGCAGATACGAAAAAACGATTGCCGGCCTTGAAATGTGGGCTGGTTATGGCATGATATAAGTAACTGACCAAGCAATAATGTTCGTTTGCAAAAATAACAACCTAGGGCGTAAAATGTCAAAATTTGGGGATTCTCTAGCCATGTGGTTACTAAGTTACCAAAAGACTATCTTTTTTATGTGCACTATACCCGTTGGAGTGGATTTACTGTTGCTACTGTTGGGCACATCACTGTCTCAACCTACCGAGAATATTCCACTAAAATATTGTGATTACCACTCAGGTTTACACTTCAAATTCTATCAAACGCTTTGAACCTTAACTTATCACTGGATAGGTGATTTCATCTTCGCTTTTCTTCCTCCATTAAATGAATTGAAGCGATCTCTTAGGACAGTTTTGGCAATTTCTCATTTGCTGTTTATCATCTGATAAATGAGACCGTGTGATTAAGCTTTGTATAAATTTCTGACCTTGTAATACCTAGTTCTAAGTGTTTCCAACCCAGTTTCTGGAACATTCCAGAAATATTTACTTTAGTAGTTTTTAAGTTGCATTATATAAACACCGGTGGTGATGTGAATATTTTCGTGGAGTTTGCCATGGAATAAAGAGCACCGCCACAACTAGGAATATAGTTATAAACCTATCTCAGGCGTTCTCACTGGGTGGTTCGTTGTCAATGTTCTAGTCTTTTCTGATTGCGAAATCCCGTATACGTGGCACATACCAGGTCTATGGTAAGCGACCTCATACATTCGAAAACCAAAAGTTAGTTCAAGGTGATTGCTATTCATAAACGGAAAAAACTGTGGCAAATCCATAACATCCTTTCGTTGGTCGGTTGAAGTTTAATCTGTTAATGAAGGCTGTTATCCGAAATCATGACGTGTTACGCAGATTCGAGTATTGCTAAAAGTAGGCCATTTTCGAAGCGAAAATCTGAGTCTGACTGTAAGCTCAGTCCAGTCTAGATATGAAAACTTCCTTTTTTAGACTATTAGACATCCATTACCTGCACTTTAGTTCCGTATATGAGTTAGTAGCAAGTTATTTTGGTAAATTACTCAAATAGTACAAATATCTTGCTTTGACTTCAAGTCACAACTGGCTACTTCGCGTATGCCGCACATACGTGCTTTTAATGTGACTGATTACATATAGAGATCACCATAAATAGGAGGTAGTAAGTTGTTTCTTTTGTGGATTTAAACTCTTTCCATCCTAATACAGGAATACCATGACAGAAGTGAAGCGAATTTTAAATCCTTTTCTCAGCTAAGTTTCAGAAATGACCACTACATTATAACTTAGTTCTTAGATTAAAGTCTCCATCCCTGGCGTTTCATTACTAGCGTTGTAGATATTGATGCAGAGGACATTCATAGTGCTTTCTGAGAAACTCAACCTATCATACAGGCCTTGAAAGCATCAGTTTTCAAGATCTGACAGTCCGAAAATTCAAAGTTCTTTCCCCTTCTCTTGTCAACCTTTCGCTTTGGGGAGTGATTCTCTTTCTTATTCAATCCTTGAGAAGCCAGTATATTTAGATACAAATGTCCAATTACTGGGTTTGGGTTCATTGTTCAGGAGTTCTTTATTACATAGACTAAGCTTCTAAATCCTCCATTATTTTGGTCTGACCCCTTTCTTTCCTAACCTTGGTACTTCAGAGATGTGTACCATGTAAGAAGTTTCCCGTAGAATATGTCTCATGGTTGGCCAAGGCAGCTTCAGACTAACGTGGTGACAACCGAAGAGTATGCTCAGTCCGGAGCTTATTCTTAAAGTTATGTGTCAAACTGATTACTTTTTTTAGTTATGCTCTTAAAGTGTGTTTTTTGAAAGTTTATTATTACTTCCGTTTACCAAACCACTTTTGAGTAATATTTTGTTACATTTATTCAATTACAAACAACGAGTTGCATTACTTCAATTTTCTTAATGTCAGCTAATTTAAAATAGGCTTTCAAGAGTCCTGCAAGCATGAATCATAGCTCCAAGGCTTCTTACCGTCATAAAGTGGAGCTTTGAGGACGGAAGGAGAATAACTAGTGGTTGGAAATTCGAGGGCAGAGACGGTCCAACCAGAGTGATTCACAGACTGAAATCACAAGACCGGCATTCAATTTGGTTTACAGTATTTGAAACTGAAGACGTTTATTAGAAAAATCGGACATAACATAGAATTATATTGACCTTGAAGGTCAAGGGATAATAAATACATCAGTAGAGACAGGAAACAATCTGAACGATATCAGGTTATGTAGAATATAACTCATTTGAGGGAAAAAACACCGTGAACAAAAACATTTCAAAAAGTACAAATGATAAGTATGAGATATAGGGGGTATATGCATCCGTAAGACATACCGATTGCTCCCAACCATCTCATGTCAATGAAAGTGTACCATGATGCTGAGTCTCTTAGCCTGGTGACCACATTACAAAATAGTCAGTTTAATTTCATCAGCGGTAAGCACTAAGGAGGATAAAATTGATTCATTCCTATGCTAAGTCAACGCATGTAATCCTGAAGGAAGTCAGTTATGTCCAGGATAGCTTAGAGGAAACGTCTCTAATTGCTTCACTGAGTGAAGGTAGTTTCCATTTCTCAGGGAATATAAGTTCCCTTGACGTGGTTGATATCCCTAGGTGACTAGTGCCTGTAATCACGAAACCTTTGTTGACGGATTTTTCCCGATTGCTTTCATATATTTATTATAAATGGACATTTCTGTTTTACCTCATATATATCCACCAAAACTGCACATTTGCAAGATATACCAAATATTTTAACCTATATCTTGAACACTTGAACATTTTTGCATATTCTAAATGAAAATCTTTTGTCTAGTTTACCTTATGGCTTATGATAGTAAACAAATGATGCATATATAACTTGTCTTCTTCAAAACATTCCATATTTGAGACTGAGATTATAATATTTAAGAGAAATTTTTAAGTTCAACTTTTCATTTTTGCAAATATAGTTCTAGTTTCCTGTAGTAATCGTTAAATTATTGTTTGTTACTGAATTTATCTGAGCTGTTTAATAAACGGAAGATATAATCCATATTCTTTACACTGAAAGATAACTTGTAAAAAGGGTTTTACTAGCTTTTATGCAAACTTTGAACTAGTCAACATCCTATTGGATGTAGTCAGGCTTTTTATTGTTGAATAGCCTTGCTTAAAAATGATAGCTATGAAAAACTATTTTTAACTCTCAAGTTTTAATGTGAGTTACACAAAACTGTATATTTTAGTTACAGGTTTGGGAAACTTCTCTCATAAACATAGCAGTTAAAATGAACACCCTCCATGAAACAATATCCTGTTTCTACATTTTTTGTATAACTCAAGTCATTATAGATTTGTAAGTCAAAAACCAAGTACTTAAGGTTTATCATTACTGATAACGGTGAAATTTATGTGACTTGAAATCACTATGAGGATTTGTTTTTCCTAACACATTACACTAGACAAACTGCAATATCTTACATTTTCGTTGGTTTACCATGAACAATCATGAACAAGATTCTTTGGTAATCTATTTAAAGAAAAACTGTCATTCAACTGGCTATATAGAATATGAAACATTTCTCTTTTTAGCCTTAAATAAGAGTTTTCTGCATACAAAAATATTCACCTTACAGTCGAGTAGACAAATTACTTCTTATAATCAAGCAGTTCGATTAACTTGTAGATAATATGCAAACGAATGAGACTTCTTTTTCATCATCAGGGAATAAGGAACTAAAATATGCAAATACCAGTGTTATTTAATTAATTTTAAGCAGTAACATTTAGTACAAAACAAAAGTCTACTCAATAATTGAGCACTAAAATTTAATTTTCAGTAAACTATTTCTACCATCTACTTTCAAGTTTATTTTAGAGAACCAAAACATTTTCACCTATCTCTACAGATTGTTATTAGTAGCATAATTTTAAGGCTCACTAATTAACCTTGTTAGAATGTATCTGTATTTCTTTTCTCTTAACTTCAGATTTATTTAACAGGAAACATGTTTCCACTTCTGAAATATTGAATAATCTCATATTCATGTATCCCATCTAATAGGTCTTTACTTGGGATAATTGTCAACATCAGATCAGTATGATGCTCACTTATCTTCTATTGAACCTACCTAGATAGAATGCGAAGGATTAAATTTACATTTTTGATATTATAGCTAGTGAATCTCTATGCTTGATTGAACCGAATTGATCGACCACTATTGGCATATGGGTGCAGAAGCCTCAGTATTGCTAGCATTTTTAATCCTGAAACTGATAATGGATAGTGTCTAGTAGTGGGACCCAAGACTCGTGTTTCGTCGTGTTTAGAACTTGTCAGCCGGGTGTACCTGCTTCCTAGAGATTGGTCATGAGTTCGATTCTTAGTGGAAATAGCATCACTCAATGGGAGACAGGTTTGTTCAACTGATGAGTCTCAAACAGGATGAAGCTTTCTTTCTGGATTCCACTTCTGGCCACTCTCCATCATCAGTATTAAATTTAGAATTTTCAAGAAACTTATGTTGATACTTTTAATAGTTGTAAATCTAAATCAACTTATTTCTTGTACTTAATAAGCTCACACTATCCTATAGTAAGGTTGTTAGTTTATTAAACCAATATACAAAACTGTTGTTACCACTATTTGTGCATAATTTAATACACAAGTTTCAACGGTTTATAGTAATTAGAATAATAATAAAAGATATACAGTTTCAAGAAGTCTGTAAATAAATTCTGAATATTACTATTTATTGATATACTTGTAATTCTCGGTTGTTTTATTGAATTGAATTGTTCAATCTCTATTGATAGATGAGCTCCTATGCAGATGTCTCAATATTGCCTGAATATTAATTATGATAATTTAGCTTGAATGTTTTGAAATTCTATCTTCTTTTTTTATTTATATAAATTTGATTTGGTAAAGATGAGTTATCGGAGAAATTAATTGATAAAATCATGTACTCTGAATCATTCGATGGTTGGTTATGTATACACGTTAACTAATTCTGACATTTATATCCTTCTTTGATTTCATTTCTTTTATTATTAACTTATTAAATGCTATACTTATCGTTTTAAAAAAAAATTTCATGGCAAATATTTATCCTTTCAAATAACAATTTCGTCAATATATGAAATCAAAATATCTACTAACTTGCGTTACAAAGTTTTCAACATACTTAAAATGTAGTTGAATTTGACAAAATATGACTTTAAAAGTTACCCTAGCAACTTATAAAGATCTTTTATTTTGGTTGAAAAATAGTTTTTCATAATATAAAAAGAAACTTAGTTGATTATCTCACTAATTTTCTAGAGTAACTAATAGAATCGCTTCTGAGAAACTACGAAAAGCACTATATCAGACAGAATGGTAGGTGTCTTCATATTCGTCTACATCCACTTCAATTAGCAGTAAAGCATAATAATATATTTTCACTCATATCAGTAAATATAGATAATTGTATTGTGAATGAGACTGGGAAAATGAGGAAATCTTGAGTGGAGGATATACTAAGAATGCCACAGGATTTTTAGAAACATGATAGTCAGGTCAGTCAGCGGTCAATAAATATCGATATAGACCTGATATATCAACCACTAAGAAATACACTAGACACTAAGAAAGCCAAAGTTCACATCAGCCGTCGAGTCAGTAGGAATGAGTGTGGAGACAATGACAAGATATCAGTAGACAGAGTACTAAGACACTTGTGGAGAAAATCTTGTAGCTTATTTTTTTCAGAGTTTGAAGGAATAATGTCGATAATGACAATGAAAGCTTCACGATTGAACTAATCATCTTTGAGAACACAACACTTCCTTCTGAGCTGCAAATATTCTCCATCTTAAGTTTAATTTTCTTTGTGGAGCTTAAGCTTATAACGTTGAAGCCACTGTTTCTAGATTCAAGCAATATCCTAAATATGTTAAAAAGTTTTTACTTAAGATGGTAAGTGCATTTTATGAAAATTAGTAAATCATAAGAAGAAAAGTTTTTGGATGACATCGGTTTCTAAGACAACGATATTTGTTAATAAACCATCTTTACGGTGCTCTTTTAAATGTTCAACCTTTGTGTAAATATTTTAGAGTTCCAATGAACTAGTTAATATGGAAAAATATGATAATGGAAGAGAAACTGTTTTATCTCAAGATGCTAACAGTCGTGTAGGGAGCCTCTGTGACTCTAGAACACTGGATAGATTACAAGAAGACTCTTCAATGGCTGTACTTTCGAATTCAGAAATTCCCTCTCAGCAAACGCGAAATCATCGTCCTGCATCTGCAAAAGGATATAGGATTAAAAAAGATGGTAATTTGAATTTTGTGTTCATGAACTTTTACTTAAACGTGTTGTTGATTTATATTAGACATTGAACATTATTTTATTGAAAATGATGTTTACTAGCATTATTTTGACTGGTTTCTTCAAACTGGTTAACTTTTAAGTCATGAGAAACCTCTTCTAAAAGTAGCATAGAAGGATACTTTTAGATTAATACTATAAATTGTATTCAAAAAGGTTTCATCTCAAACAGCAAAAGCGATTCCATAACTGTTAACATTCACTGCTACATAAAAATCTCAGATTAGCATGAAGTCACTTATAGAATGCATAATCATATCAAACCGTAATATTGCATATATCTGGGAATTGAGTCTATCTGTGTCTGATTGAACAATCACTTTGAACATATGCAACATATTGTTTGAACAAATCGAAATTAGAAAAGAAATCCAGATAAAAAGTAATCAGTATGACACATTCAACATTTCGATGTGATAATTTTAAATCACTAGAATCTTAGCCTAAAAGTTATATGCTTGCCTGGCACTAGAATATTTATAGTTTTTCTTGACCTTTCTGCAAGGAAAACCATATTAATGATAGCTAATTGAGAGAGTATCTTGTTTATCACTCAATAAAGTCAAAGTTTTTAAAACTGCAATCATTCACATCGTTATTTAATTTTCTTGAATTAATTTCGTATTGAAAAATACAACTGTAAATCATGTAAACTTCAAGAGACCTCATCTATCGAGTTTTATAGTATATAATGCATCTATAAGAATAAAGTTATTTGTCACCAAGATTTATGACTACCTTTCGTTGCGTTCTCAAGCTTTCAATAAACCAATCACTGAACATTTTCCAGTAAGTTACTCATATATATATATATATATATATATATATATATATATATATATATATATACTTATTCGTGTTTTTTTATTGTCACAGCTGTACCAGAAGCAAGTATACCTGTCACTCAAGCAGAGAATAAACCAGAACCGGTTCCAAAGTAAGATGACTTTTCCTGATCATTTAGTGGAATACAGTTTTCTCTGTCATCCATGAAATCATGGTGATAAGCCGTATATACACATGATTTCATGAACATTAAAATCCACCTTAAGAAAAGATATTCATTCAATTAATATTCTGTAGTTTTTCTACAATTTTATTACAGTTAAGGTGATAAACAGTTCATTTTTAATGTTAATTGCTTTATGAGAATTTGCGGTTGAATCCATAACATGCATTTTCTCTTAGTTGAGAGTTGTCAGTTGAATGTATTGAAATCTTAATGGGTTTTGGTGTTCTCATTGTGATTTGAAGAGAACACTTATCACTGCAAATACCAGAGTGTTATTTACTAGAGTAGTTAATCATCAGAGCCACCTATTTTGCAACAGTTAATATGTCTTATTCCTTTAATGGTATTAACTTTTCAAGCAAATAACATCTAAATAAAGCTTCAGGCAATATCTATTGAGAAAGGCCTATGGTTCAAAAAATCGACCAATCCAGTTCAGTATAATAATCAACGGGAAATAACAACTATCAATAAATTTCTTTAGTCATTTGAAATAATTATTCAAGCATTTCAGGATAGATTAAACATTGAATCTATTTGTAAACATCAAGATCGAAGTTTAACCTGAAAGAATTAAATCAGTTGAGTATTGGATAGATGGAGTAATTGTGTAAAATGATCACTTCCCAATTGATAATCATTAATTAATGGCAATTAAGTTTATTCCAATTTTGTTTTGTATGCATATATGAACATCTATAAAATGTGATTTGAACACGAAATTATGAGCGGATGAAAAAAGAGGTCCAATTTCAAGGTTTTTTACGCAAGTGACTGATTTCAAATAGGTTTTCACCACTAATCACGAAAAATAAAAGAACCATTGGATAATAGGGGAGTTCTGGATATCTGTTTTATCCTAGTTTAGGACTAGTCAGCTGCGCTTACTTATACATCTATGTGGGTTAAAAATAAGAATGGACAGTTTTACACAAATCTTCAAGTTGAATGACAATCTACTGAATTCTAGTGAATTATTTCGAAATAGATTTCGTGAAGTTCCAGTGAGAAGCTAGAACTTGATTGGGTGCAAATAAGTCGGGTATGAGAACAAATACTCACTGGTGCCATTGACTGGTGGTTATGGTGTATCCTAAAGTGATAAAACTTGAAAAAAGTGGGCAATTGGATATATATTAAGTAGCTGGATACCAGTATGCTCACCTTGAGATTTGACAATCTCGGGTCCAATGGTGGATACGATCATGGGTACCCACTGCTCAGGAGTCTTAAACTCGAAGGAAACAGTGTTCATTAATTTTCTGGATGCCTTCAGTTAGGAGCAGAAACTCCTCTAAAGAGATGGTTTGGACTATCTAGAAAATTACTATTTATTGGCATACTTGTAATTCTCCGTTGTTTTATTGGATGGGATTGTTCGACCTCTGTTGTCATATGGGCTTCTATGCGGATGCCTTCATATTGCCTGAATATTAATTATGGTAATTTATTTTGGTTGTGGCTAGCAGAAGAATCCAGGATGCGTGTTTCATCCTATTTGGGACTCGTCAGCTGGATGTACCTGCACGCCAATGCGGAGTGATATTGTTCCCACTGAGACGAAACGCGCATCCTGGATTCTTCTGATAGCCACAACCAGGAAAAATTACCATAATTAATATCCAGTCAATATCGAGGCATCCGCATAGGAGCCCAAATGCCAATAGAGGTCGAACAATTCGATCCAATAAAACAACAGAGAATTACAAGTATATCAATAAATAGTAATAACTAATACCCATTATACAACAAGTGGCTATCGTGCGTCCACGGCATAGTGGATAACTCCTTGGCGTTTGAAGCGATGGGTACGGGGTTCGAGTCTTGGTGGGAACAACATCACTCCGCATTGGCGTGCAGGTACATCCAGCTGACGAGTCTCAAATATAACGAAATGCACATCCAGAATTCCCCTACTAGTCACAACTAATCAAATTACCATATATGGAAAACATCTTTTATGTGTTCATTCTAGAAATTTTTCAAGTACTTAGTGTATGTTCTACTTTCTCATTTACTACTTAAATAATTTCTATAGACTTCATTGTATGGAAAAGGGATAGACAAGAATCCTATTTTTTTCTTATGAAAGATTTTACATACAAATTTATAAAAGTCGAATATATTATTTTGTCAGCATATTATTATATCATCACTTTGAGGTGCTAACATCAGTTTTATTATCAGTAAGTTGAATGTATTTTTCACTATTGAGCGACAGTCATTATGGTTGGTTTTCTGACCAATTATCAGTAACTGTTTACCAGTAGTTGGTATCGAATTTTTACATTTATAACGCGTGACTTGACGACATAATTAAACAACCAGTGGGTAAACATGCTCTGTCCAATGACGGTGGCCGACTTAAAGTGGCTGACTAGTGAACAGTAATAAACATTATTTGTGTTTATTCATCAAAACAAGCTAATTCTTTACTGTTCACGTTGTTGGTATGATAATCACGCTAATTTATTCAACATCGGAACATACTTCATTGGATGTTGAATGGTTGAAGGTAATCGATAACAAATCTCAGTTGATACATCTCGCAACCACACTTAGTACCACAGAAGCTCTCATTGTTTATCTACGTCAAATTAGTATAGGATTTCATATAACTTTTCATTAACTTCATTACTCTTTACGTATGTTCACGTTCTTGTTTATTTGTCGGCAGTTTGAACTTCATTTTTCTCTCTTTATGATATATTGTTAAGTTAGTTATGCAGTCAGCCCCATCCATCTAATTCCATGAAAGTTTGCAACCGAAATCAACTGACTTACTTCGTTTGTTTAAATCTCTTCACTTGACCTGAGGGTTACTACTGTGGGCGCATCAGGATATATAGCCAGTGTTACGAAGACAGTGGCAGTCGAATACGTGAGACCTAATGTCCTCCACCTTTAATTGGCATTTTTGACCGTTCTTAGGCAATCGAATATCAAACTGGTGTCACATTTAGCGTTAGTTGGGAAGGCCAAGCAAGCATTTTGTTTCCGTGTAGAGATCTTGTTGGTTACTGCACCTTCAAGAACAATCTGATCTCCCCAGGAAGCGAAGTTATTTGAACTCATTCAACTTTTACTTTAGGTTCAGCTTTGTTATAATCCTTAGTGGAGTCATGATTGTTAACTGCTGAAGAGTCACGTAGTAGGACGAAATGGGTGTTCAGTACTCTCAGGTTCCGTAATGAACACCAACTTTTCTATATGTTGTGAACAGTATTCATCCGTAACCTCAATTCTGTGCTGTAATTAGATTAGCTTTTCAACTACTTGGCCTAACTTTATAACCTGACGTTTTTGATCTCGATAAACTTGAAGTGTAGCACAATTTATGCTGAATAAAAATTTTACTAGTCATTTATCTTGAGTAACTTTTTAGTGTCTACTTCAGTGATATAAACGGGGCTTTTACCTTATATATTTGTTTGTTACAAATAGATATCATTCTGCGTTAATAATCTTTAGTGGATTTTCGCCGCTGTTCACTACTCAGATGTATTAGTAGCTTAATTAGATTGCAACTGATGCCAATTGGAGTATGATTTATTCCGAAATCCAGTAGATATTAGCATCCCTATTAAGATTTCATCCTTACATCTATCGTAAAAAACTTCAGAAAATTTCTTAAAAGATCAAATGGTTACTAGTTATCAAGAAGATTTAGCATATTCAAGCTTTTAGTTCACTAAACCGAATTAATCAACCTTCATAAATACATAGGATTACCTTTATTTACACTACAGCGTAGATAAATTTCTTTGATTATTGTAAAGCAGCACTAAAAAAAAATTTTTTTATCCTTGTGTTAGTTATTATAAATTATTATTCTTTTAATCCATCGAAATATTGAAGCATTTCAGTGTGAAACTAATTTCTTGTGAAAGTTCTCTTCACCAACTAAAAGATTATCACGAAACTTGTGCACTGTTCTTCATCTCAATGGTATTAATTTCTCTTTTTCTTCAAGATTCAAGTATAATTTATGTACAATATATGGTACTCATAACTAAATATCACTGACTGAAAGTGACTGATGAAAGATCATTAAAGTATGATTGGTTATGATTATTTTCTCTTGGTAGGATTTCGATAATATTTCTAAGTAATGGGTACTCCACCTATCACGCAACAAATATGCAGGAGGAAGTGGAGATGGATTGGGCATCCACTGAGAAAGCCGACTGAGGACATCACGCGTCAGGCCAGTTGCTCGAGTGGAATCCCCATGGGAAGCGACGAGTTGGACGTCCAAGGGTGACATGGAGGAGGTCGTGCGAGGAGGAAATGAGAGGTTGTGGGCTGTCGTGGGACAAGGTTCAAAAGATCTCAGAGAACAGGATGAAATGGAGACGTGCTACTGAAGCCCTATGTTCCACTAAGAACCCAAGGGACTAATAATAATAATAATAAATAATGGGTACTCCAATGCAAATTTAAGGCGAAAAATTGCTCTTAACCTAAACAGAGCTCCAGATAAGATTTGAATTATGTATGCATTCAGTCACATAGCAATTAAAATGCTATCGGATACCATCGTTTATCAAAGTGAATTAAACATACTTTATATTCTGCTAACTTATATTTTGCATTTTTTTTCAGACTGTAATTGTTTTAACAATGTATAAAGGGTAACATACCACTAGATTTCCTCATCTATGTGTATCTGACAGTTTAGCTTAGATGGATGATTTCGGTTACATTGTATTCTCTTGGATGGGTGGTTATATCGCAAAGCTTTCACTGTTTTGCCAGACAACATCATCAGCATAAACTTCACTGTGAATTAAGTCATCAGTATTCTTCCGTGAGTTATTCAGTAGCTCACCCTGATGAAATGGCTTTCTTATATTATTAAATAAGGTAAACAAACAGGTGAGATGTGGATCTGTGAAGTTAATAACACAAGAAACAGGACAAGTTACTGAATTGCTTACGCAGAAATACTGATAGCTCACTTCATATTGAAGTTAGTGAAGATGATATTGTCTAGAAAGGCAATGAAAAGCTTCACCATTAAAGCATTCAGCTCAGAAAATGCAACACGATCAAGAAGTTTGCTTATGTTTTGCAACTGGGGAACCAATTTTCCTATAGTGATTCTTCTGGTATCTCCTCAAGGTGAAATCATTTCCTTAAATATATGTATATATCACCTAAGTGCGACTAGCTGATTTCTCACCATATTTATTTATAACTGCATAACCTTGTAATGTAATCGTGCTAAGAAATACTTATTTATTAAGCAAATATCTTGTCCCTTCTACTCTTTAACTGACCCGAATACACACCTATTTGGCAAAGGATATTTTAAAGTCTATATGTTCTTTTTTTCTCTTGATATCCCTAAAGTCTTATAGACATTATTCCTTTCTTTTAGTCCTAGATTAGCTCCACCTCGCCCAAGACGTTCATCAGACTTGGTAATTGTGGATAACCAAAAGTAAGCAAATATTGTTTATATTATAGGTAAATCAGTAACCTAACAACAGATTCAATTTGATAAATAGTGAAATTTTTAATAGTGATAGTATAATACATTTTCACTTCCAGTATCCAGTATGTTGCCATGCAAGCTGTGTAACATGACTAACGTTAACGCTCGTTATTTCATTCAAATAGTATATGAAATAAGTAATTTTGAGCATAATTTTCGTCATTTATTGTAATATTTTTGATTAAGAGTGCCGTGTTAAGCTTAAGTGGGAACATACCGGATACTAGCAGGGGTCAAATTCTCATTGGTCAACATTTCGAAGTTAATCTTTACAGTATGTTTGATATAACTTTGTTCAGATCAGGTGAATTAAATCTAAGAAGAGGTCTTGTAGTACAGTATTTGATTATTTAGTTTGATTTAAAGTTGGTAGATTGGTTGTGTATACCGTGAACTGATGCTAAATTGGTATTTTAGACTATCTTCTACAGTATTCTCGATTTCTTTTATTTAGCTTATTCGCAGAAATCATGAGTATACAAAAATATCAAATTCTGTTACTGAAATTTTTAATTGACTTTACTTATTCGATTAATGTTATTTAAAGAAATGCTTTGATCTTAGTTGAAATTTACCCTTGACCATTTTTTTAGGCCTCTTTCTTTTCTTCAATATCCTTCATTTTCCCTTTTCCATCTCGTCAGTTTAATGAGTTTCTCAATGAGACACTTGTTCAGTTTCACTGAAGATAGTTCACGAAATATTAATATATATATATATATATATATATATATTCATTTTGTACTTATTACTGGTGAAAGTTAAAACAAATTGATTCTAAGACCATTAGTCAGAATTAGACTGGTAGACAAAACGGATATTAGGAATAAATGCAATTGTTATACGAACGTTTGATTATTATGTACCAGTATCCCCTTAGAAATGTCTCAGCTCCAAGTTTCAGGGCAGTATTCAGACATATGGACATTCCTACAAAAATCTGGTGGATCAGTAGAAAACAGTTTAGCACCGCATCTATATGAAAATGAACGCTCTCACCAAAGCATTCTGTTAACGCTCACCCAGATTAATCAGTGTTATTTCAGAACCTTCCTAACCACCAGGCTTCAAAGCCAAATAATCGGTTCCTTGACTGTACTTACCTACCCGTGGGCAGACTTGAGTAATACACGTCTCATTCAAGTCCCTACAAACTTGCAGACCTAAGTACAGATCACCTCCTCGAAAAGACACTCGTCTAAGAGGCCTGATCCGTGAACCCATAATGCCAGTAGATTCATAGCAGTGGCTCCCTTCGGGCTACTGCAATGCAACCAATCCTAATTCTAACGACGATGACATTCTGGACTGAATATCTCTCGCCTTCAACCTAAAACTACGCCTGTTTTTGAGGATAGCTTTAAGACAATGATTATTGGAATTAGGAAGCTGGACTCATCCTACCTTTCGGCTGCACTGTTACCAGTGCGCTGGGAGCGGAACTTTTCATACCCTGGAGAGCTGCACCACCGATCTTGCGCATATGCGTCTCGCTGACCTCGGAATCCGATAAGCCAACTTGACAGTGTTTTGGCTGATACCAGAGGCGCCATGATTAGGCTCACTGCTGTATGCAACTAGGCTCAACTGATAACCCCCAGCACACAAACTATTCCGAGGTTTTAGAAAACACAAACCCAGTACCACTTAAGTGCGCCGTGTGGAGTTTCTTCACATTGACGTCCTGGCCTGGAAATACAACTATCTAAGGATTCATATTTACACTTGTTGAATCATACTGAACTATAAATATATAATCATGTTATCTTGGAAATCACAGAGATTTCTATCAAATGTAATATACCTGTACCTTGAATAATCAATAGGCCAACTGGTATAACAGGTTGTCGAGTATCTGGACTAATCCTTTCTGATACACAACAAGATACAGATGAAGATGATGATAATGAAGATGCCAGATTTGTTATTGAAGAGACTATTGGTGGTGAATCCGGTGAGCTTTCAACAAATCATCAGAATAAAACAGAATCAGAAGAAGGTCAAGAACATGGTAAGATAGTTACAGTTAGCGTTTTAGCAAAATTTAAATGGTTTGTTATCTGCAAAACGTTTACTACCTCATTTTGTTGTTAACCATCGTTGTACAATCCCAACAGTGGAACGTTTAAATGTAGTAATATTACTTCAGCTGTATCTACAGAAAGAATTCTCGATATCGAGTAAGTTATTGTTGATTGATACTTGTGATTTCCTGTTATTATACTGGGTCGAATTGCTCAAACTCTCTTAGCAGATTGGCTTAATTCAGTAAGACAACGGGAAATTCCAGGTATCACCTGTTAGGGTTTCGAAACTGCTATATGCTATGGTCGCTAACGATGCATGGATATCGAGTGTAAGCCACCAACATTCAACAAACTCCTGGTTCACTTCACACCCGAGTAATTAATGGCAAAGACACTATGGACGTGTAAATATGTGTGTTGGGGTCGACAAATCGAAGACGAAAACAAATAAAATGCAGCAAATATATGAATAGTTAGGTCTATAAAATAATATTGTTGATCGGCTGATACAGCGTCTGTCTGTCTAACTTTAGATGTGATAAACTACATTTTGATTGGTACCTCTCCAGACTAAACTTTTCTTTCGATCCCCATATCATCAATCGACGATGACTGCATCCCTGTTGCACAAGAGGTGGCTGTTGTACCTCGGTGGCCCACGGGATTACTATCTGACGTTTGAAGCGAAAGGCGTGGGGTCCGAGTCTCAGAGGGAACAACGCCACTAATTGGGGTGCAGGTACATCCAGCCGATGAGTCCCAAGCAGGACGAGCCGCGCGTCGTGAATCCCATTGCTAACCACCAAGTAAACTACCACGTTGGCTAAGTTAGTTTAGTCATAAATGTACTTGGACGTTTTTGTAATTTCCAAGTTAGCCTGAAGGCGCAAACTGTCATTTACATTCTTCTGTCATCAGAATAATAATCAAAGTTATATTCTTTAATGACCACCGACAACTAACCACCAAATTAACTGATTGCTATTGAAGAAATAAATTAATACAGTGTAGTTGGGTGGACAGAGATTGATTACCGAATCTGTTTTCATCGAAACAACGATAAACACGGATTAGGAATGACGGCAAACCTTAACTTGAGGTCTGGAAGGATATGCGACTATAGAGATTCTTTTTGAACTCTACTAAAGATGAGGAAAAAGACCCTAGAAGATTTGAGCTTCACCGCCGATGATGTTTGATGTGTAATGTCTTGTCGCACAAACTCGAAGATCTACAGGCAAAAACCAACAAGTTGACAGGAGAGGCGGCGAAAACGGGACTTCAAGTGAACATAGAGAAGACAGGTGATGAAGATACCCAACCAACACCACCACCACCACCAACAACAAGCACCAATCACCATGAAGGAGAGGAACCTAAAGGAAGTGACCTCTTTCACCTACCTACCTAGGCAGGGTAGACTCGTTTCAACTACAGGCAACAGCAGCACAGATGAGGATATCAAGGCAGTCAGGATCAGAAAGACAGCAAGACAGGCCTTCCTGCATTAATCTGAAATCAGTGTGGAGATCGACTGCACTCGACTGCACTGCACTGCACTGCACTGCACTCAGCATAAAGCGTGAACGAGATCCGGATTTTCAACGCTAATATCAGTCAACTGAGTCAGTGCTTCTATGTGATGGTTGAGAGACTCGGTGGCACGTTACGAAAAGCATTTCCAACAAACTACAGGCATTCATCAACAACTGCGACCTACGCTCACTCGAGACTGACACTGAAGATCAGATGGTCAGAATAACAAGAGGAAGCAACAAGGAACTCTGGCTGGCTGTCAACGAACCAACCAAGAACCCATCGCCTAACAAATATGCAGAAGCAAGTGGAGATAGATTGGATTGGATGGGTTTGGACATACACTGAGAAGGCTGATTGGGGACATCACGCACCAAGCCAGGCCGGGCTGTCGAGTGGAATGCAAACGGGAAACGACGAGTTGGGCGTCCCAGCTGAGGGTGATATGGAGGAGATGGTGTGAGGAAGAAATGGAAGCTTGTGGGTAGTGGTGGAGTGATGTTGAAAGACTGCAGAGAAGAGAGTGAAATGGTGACGTGCTACTGAAGTCGTATGTCCCACTAGGAACCCAAGTGACAAATAATAATAATAAGGTTGAAGAGATGTTAAACTGAAATCTAAGTGCATAGCTATTTTTCGTACGGGTTTTTGTTTAGTTTATAAATAACACTTAAGCTTTACACCATATGATTATGAGAAAGTATGTTCATGCTGGTCATATTACGAAGATATCCAGAAAGTTTGGTGGATTTTATGACTGAAGACATTACTAACAACCTGATCTACTTGAAGACAGATAAATACTCACATCACCATGACAATAAATTAGGTCAGAAGGTGAATAAAAATTGCGAACATTACATAGCATTATTTCGAAACGTGTTCTGTCCAGATGGCCCAGATTTACGTAAGAGATTATTTAGTTATTTATACATTTTCAAATTACCGTTTTCGCGCCTTTTTCACGTCGTGGCCTGTAGTTCATTTTACCCCACCTTTTAGGCAATTTGCTGATTGGTTGACGGTTGCTTTTAATGTGTTGTTGTTCCGAATTTTGGACAAAGTCACATTTCATGTATATGTGCGCACTTGTTTCAAGTTACTTTCGCTCATTTTGTGGACAGTAAACTCTCATTCAAACCAGTCTTCTTGCTCTCTGTTTTCGTCCAGAGTCGGTGGTATCTAGTATACGAGGTAGCTGCTGGTAAGAAGTGTACCTACTATGTTATACCCGAAAATATAATATTTTGAGCGTTAAGTAATAAACACAGTCATAGGCTGATGGAACAGAATAGAAAACCTGTTCATTCTCCCTCTTTTCTCCAGTTTTTATTGACAAAAGAACTAATGGTTGTTGAATCAATAATATATTTATTTCTGGAGGTAGTATTCATAACGGTCTGATAGTTGGAGAGCCATTGAAAATATGGGGTACTGAACAGCTGTTTCGTCCTAGCATAAGACTCCTCAGCAGTACATACCCACTACCAGGCTAGGGACCGAACTCAGCACCTTTAGACTTCACGGTGAAAGCGTTAGTCATTCAGCTGCTCAGTGCTCCCAGATTTTCAATGGTTCCCCAACTAATATCCGTCCATGATAAATACTATCTCTAAATTAAAAATTCCGTTCGTCACAAAAATATTTATTTTTATTTATCAGTATTTTGATTGTAGCACTTTTATTCTTAAATTAATTACAATGTATTATAGATGTTTGAGTATATACGATAACATATGTTTATGTTTAATATTTCTATAACTTTTCTAGGCGGTTTAGTAACTAAGATTTTACAGACGAAAAAAGAATATGAAGATGGAAATCTACTTAGCAAAGAAAAATCAAAGTTACAGGTAAACATGTCTTTAAAATGTTTTTTTTAAAGTTGAAAATTTTCAAGTATTTTCATTATATTATTTATTTGTGCCTTGGGTTCCTAATGGAATATAGGGATTCAGTAGCAAGTCTCCAATGCGCTCTTTTCTCTGAAATCTTTTGGACCTGGCTCCACGACTGCCCACAACCTCTCATTTCTTCCTCGCACGATCTCCTCCATGTCACCCACAGCTGGGACGCCCAACTCTTCGCTTCCCATCGGGGTTCCACTCGACGGCCTGACCTGGCGTGTGATGTCCCCAGTCGGCCTTCTCAGTGTATGTCCAATCCACCTCCATTTCCTTCTGCATATTTGTTGAGTGATAGGTTCTTGGTTGGTTCGTTGACAGCCAGCCAGAGTTCCTTCTTGCTTATTCTTTCTGGCCACCTGATCTTCAGTAACGAGCCAGTGTAGGCAGTTGTTGATAAATGATTGTAGTTTGTTGTAAATCCCTCTTGTAACGTGCCAAGTCTCTCAACCACCACTTGGAAGCACTGACTTGACGTTGGTATTGAAAATCCAGATGTTGTTCACGATTTATGCTGAGTACACTGCAGTAGATCTCCACACTGGTTTCAGACTAGTGAACGCCTGTCTTGCTGTCTTTCCAATGCTGGCTAATTTGACGTCCTCATCTGTGCCTGTGCCACAGCCTGTAGTTGAAAGGATGCTGCCTCGCCTAGATAGGTGAAAGAGGCTACTTCCTTCAAGTTTCTCCCGTTCATGGTGATGGTGATTGCAGCTTGTTGTTGTTGGTTGGGTATCTTCATCACCTCTGTCTTCTCTATATTCACTTGAAGTCCCGTCTTCGTCGCCCTGCCTCGCCTCTTCTGTCAATTTGTTAGTTTTTGCCAGTAGATCTTCGGTTTTGTGTGACATTAGACATGAGTCATCATTGGCGAAATCCAAATCTTCGAGGTTCTTTTCCGCGGTCCAGCGTTTCCCCCTCTTCTCTCTCCTCACTGTTTGTTGCATGATCCAGTGGACCACAATCAGGAATATCATGGGTGATAGTAGACAGCCTTGTCTTACTCCTGTCTCCACTTCACTTCAAAAGCATCACTGAACTTCCGATTGTGAACTACTTGGCATGTGGTGTCTTCATATAGTTGTTGAATGAGATTGATAAAGGTTTATGGTATTCCGTAGTGTTGAAGCAGTTTCCAAATTACTTCTTGGTTCAAATATTACTAAATCCAAAAAGACTTGCGTATTTCTGTTGGATACAGATGTTTTAAGTTGAGACTGACCGACTTAGGGAACTTTGTTTGACTACACTAGACGGCCAAAAAGTAGATGAAATAATTTAGCAACTTAAGTTTTCTCACTTGTTAGCAACACAAAGTCTAATAACGAGAAAAAGTGAAATAAGTACGTTAATACAACACCATTTTAATCGGATGGAGGAAATCGACAGTAAACCCTAAGCCTAGGTCTCGCGCTTTTTTTCCACTCATCAGCGAGGCGTATCTGCAACCTTGAGGGGACTGATGTTTCGCCCAAAATTCCAATCCGAGTCTGTTGATGAGTGCCAAAAGGCACCACTTCCTGCTACTTGCTTTCATCCAACTAACATCTCTGTCTACATTACGATAGTGAGTCTTCTAGTCTGGTGACCACATCGCAAAGTAATCGATAGGATTCGATCAACACATACGACTAGACAACATTAAGTCGGTTACTCTTCAGTGACCAATCAATGTACAGCCGTATCTGTTCGCTGTTTAACTGTACTTGTTAAGGCTGCTTTCCTGAAGTGTATACTGTTTTCCCGCGTTAAAATGTACTAATGATTTTGTGCATGTTTGAGCCTTATTCAACTGATTGATATCTATTTAAATGCGTTATTTAGGGATCTCATTCCCATAAACTATCAAAAGATATTTAAATGCAAAAGCTGTAATCTAGTCTCCAGATACTGTAATCGAGTTAATGACTATTACAATCAACGGACATATTCTGCACTACCTGTGTGTTATGATTTGGAGACTGCTATGTGCTATGGTCGCTAACGATTATCGAGTGTAAGCCACCAACATTCAACAAACTCCTAGTTCACTCCCCACCCGAGTAATTAATGGCAAGACACTATGGACGTGTAAATATGTGTGTTGGGGCCGACAGATCGAAGACGAAAACAAATAAAATGCAGCAAATACATGAATGTTCGAAGGTATCTTGACCAACAATGGACTGGATGGTTTGAAAAAACTTGGGCACGTCAAGTACTAACACGTCTAGCCGAACACGGTAGGAGTTCCAAAAAACCACCAAAAAATTCCTGTGATCTAGAAAAACTTGGAAAAAGCTCTGCTATCGCGGCTCATGCCCTATATTCAGGTCATAAAATATCATTTGAACAGACAAAAGTTCTGCAGAAGGGTTTTCTCTCTCACAAAGAGCGGACCATTGTAGAAGCTTTGCACATCTGCTCATATCCTTCTTCGGTCAATAGAAAAGATGGGTTAGACATCCCACTAGTATGGCAAACATTAATGACTCACCTAGGCAGTTATAAATAATATCTGAAGAGAAGGTAGATTTCGATAACGCTATTAGAAGACGAAGATTATCTGAAAAATGTGATGTATTTGCGCAATACATTTCGAACAATCTGATCACACATTTACTTGTCAAGTCAATTTATATATGAAAATTAAAGGTCAAATATAGTGAATATGAAAAGGTTGTGACACTAGTCTTGGTAATATAATCAGATAAGGATTACCAAGGTAAATTAAGTGAAACAACAAACTGTTTTTGTACACACAGCGGGGGATTAAGTTTACGAATGGCTAACGCTTCGGCAAACTTCAGTATGCGCCCCTGATTATTCCTGTATAATATCTTAAACGCTGTTTTCGTATTAACCCTGTGATTCATTTCAATAATATGTTTTGCTATAGATGACGATGGATGTCTGTCACCTGCACTTATCAAAGTTTGTGTGTTAAACTGTTTTTCTAGCCATTTGGGGATGTGTTCACCCACCCTAGTCTGCATTGAACGATTACTCCTCCCTATGTATATGTGCCCACACATACATGTAAATTGGTAAACACAGTAGGATGTGATGTAATCATTTGTGCGAGGTTGAGGTTTGTGGTGAAGCAGGTGTTTTGTCGTCTCAACAATGATAAGCTGAGCTGCATAGTATGTTTTACTGATAACAGATTTTAATCTCTGCTTCAATATCATACTACTTGTTTCCCCTCTGTATGGTACTTTAAGAAATATGCTTTTCTTCGGGACCGAGGAAACTGTAGGCTTTGGGGTCAACTGTTTTTTACAATGGTTGACAAACTGTAATGGATAACCGTTTTCCACTTTTTTTTTTTTTTTTAGAGTATTCTCATCATCCATCGTATCAGATGTACAAATACGTTGGATTCTATTGAACAAGCATCTTACCAAGCCTCTCTTATATTTCATCGGACAAAAACTATGGAAATTCAAATACTGTCCTGTCCAAGTAGGCTTCCTATATATTGATCGTCTTATAGATCCATCTTCCCTCCGGCACAAGAGTATATCAAGAAATGCAAGTTGATGGTCTTTTTCTTCCTCACATGTCAGACTGATATGATCTTGTACGGTATTAAGCCTTTTTAACAACCTCTTGGCATCCTCATCTGTGTCACATATTACAAAGATATCATCCACATACCTTCTATAGAGTGTGACATTGGTGATTAGATCTTGAGCCATTAGTTCAGTATGTGATATATATATATAAGCTAATAACGGTCCTAATGGACTCCCCATGGCTACACCATCAATTTGCCGAAAGTGTTCACCTTCGAAAGTGAAATGAACCTTATCAGTACATAATAAAAGCAGTTCTTTCAAATAAGTTGAAGGAATAGGGAAAGAAGGATAATTCGAAGATATGTGGTCGCAAAGAATATTAATTGTCTTCGTTAGAGGCACATTTGTAAACAGAGAGTTAACATCAAAAGAATACATTTTCTTATTTTTAATATTCAAATCAGTAAGATAATCAACAAGTTCAAACGTATCTTTCAGTGAATACTTACATAAATCATTACGAATCGGGCTCAGTAATTCGGCTAACCACCTCGCCAATTTGTGTGTGGGAGACTGACACATTGACAATATTGGGCGTAGTGGATTATCAATTTTGTGAATTTTTGGAAGTCCATATAGATTTGGGAAATTAGATCCCATGGGTTTCAAGGAATTAAACTCCGCTTTAGCAATGACATCCGTGTTAAGGAGTTTAACTAGACTAGTTGTTACTTTTCTTTCTAATTTTCTTATATCCTCTGACGGAACATCTGCCAAGAATTTACTTTTATCACAAAGAATAGACAACATTTTATTTTTGTAGTCTACTTTGTCCATCAACACAACACCTGATCCTTTATCAGGCTTAAGAATTATCACATCAGGATTCCTCTGTAAGTTTTTCAGGGACTTGAAGTGTTGCGTAGTTAAAATGCATCTCTGTTTCGGACCTGGGTTATGGAATTGATGGGCTATATCAACTAGTTTAGCCTTCAACCAACTCTGGTTGTCCGAAGAGGTAGGGACTAGAGAAGTTAACTGATCATATAAATTTTCGAAATGGGCATCGATGGCTAAATCATTGTTATGATGGTATGGGACAGAAAAATTAAATCCAAGGGAAAGAGATTCTTTCTCACATACCGAAAGTTCAACTGAAGACAAGTTCGTCACATATTTATCTGGATTTACTGGAAATGACTCTATGTGAAGGTCACTGATACACGATTTCAATAACTTTTCTTTAGCTTCCACCTTCGTTTTAATCATAACTGAACTAAAAAAATTGATAAATTGGATATGACAAACTAGAGAGATGTCAGACAGCACAGAAGAAGCAGATACATGAAGTTCAATTAATCGGCACAACTTCTCGCTGCAACTGTTAATATGAGAGTTCGTAAGACGAATAAGATTTGAGACATTAGGATGTAATTTTGAACATCGTAAATTTCTAGAATGGTCTTGGAAATGTGTGATTAGATCTACATGATTTATAAAATTCTAGTTTCACTTTTTCAGATGCTATTTTGCACTTGAGGTTGAACAGTTCATCTAACCGTTTAACAGTGCTAGCAGGGAGTCTTCTTTTCAGAAATTTGAAACAATTAGTCCCTTTAATAAATTTCGATAACGCTATTTTTCAGATAATCTTCGTCTTCTAATAACGTTATCGAAATTTATTAAAAGGACTAATTGTTTCAGAAGGTAGATTGTCTAGTCCTATTACGTACACCTTATTGATCTACTATTTTCATCAATTTTACACTACTTTCTGAGTCATATACATTTGATGAACCATAACATAGTCCATTTTGTTATCACTCATACTTCAAGAGTTATCAAAAATACATTTATGGTTATCATTATCATTATTTATTTAAGATATATTGTCTCACCTTCATATATTCATCCTTCCAAACTAGTAATCTATTCTTTCTCACCGTTGATGTCTCACAACCCCATTGTACTTTTCATAGACGAACTAAAAAATTTCCCCATCCTATTTTTGTTCCAACTTACTCGCACAACGGAAAAACCTCTCTGACCGAGTTGCTTATTCACTCACCTGTAGTATTACATTGATCTTTTCTCCATATCACTATGTAATTGGATGATTGTAAAGGTCACCACTTTGTGTACCAAAACTTGAATGTTAACCTGAAAACTTAGTGTCAGATTCATACTCCTGAAAAGGATCTTCCTAGCAAGATCGAAACGTTGGGGAATAATACAAAATATTTGTTTATTTTGTTATTTGCTGTGATATACTATGCCAGGATTACACAAGTAAAAATACATCCTATACAATGAATAGTTAGGTCTATAAAATAATACTGTTGATCGGCTGATACAGCGTCTGTCTGTCTAACTTTAGATGTGATAAAGTACATTTTGACTGGTCCCTCTTCAGACTAGTCATTTGTCTTTATCTCCGTATCACTGAGTCTAAGAAAAGCTGGACAGATAGTGCTTCATTCTCCTTTACCTGAAAATTGATGTTTCGGCATTGTTAAACGACTCGTATCTAAGCATAGGGTAACGTTTTCATGAAGAAAAATGTAAATGCTTTGGTATGCACGTTACTGTTATCGTTTTCTATTCATTCAATATAATTTTTGAGATCAGAAGTTTTGCCATCAAACTGGGTCTAACTGTCAAAGTCTACACTTCATATTAGTTGTCTGTCAAATGTATTCTACTTCAACCTACCACTTTTCTTCAATAAATTTTGAACTAAACCTCAGCTGAGTATATTCTTGCCTCCTGTTAGCCACAGTGAATCAAGGCCTACAACATCGTTAGGCCTATATCTATAATCAATATTACTTCCTTTACTGTCCACTAAAAGTGCAGGATGACCAAATAAACATCTGGAATTTGATATTGTTGATAGATATTGGCTAGCAGTGGAATCCAGAACGCATGATTTATCCTATTTGGAACTTGTCAGTTGTATGTGCCTGCCTCCCAGTGAATGATGATCCCATTGAGACTCGAAATCAGAACAAATAGCTGCAAACAACGGACAGAGTGGCTATCTATTGCTTCAAGATTCTCAGTAGTTCTTTAGCTGACGTCAATCAGTGATAAATACTAATTGGAAATCAGTAAATCCTCACAAACCTCTAAATTGAAATCAGTACCCTAGTTTATCGATTCGATGTCATTGATACTGTTAATCAGTAGAAGGAAAGCGTTCGACTGATTGATAGCACTTTATCGAAGATAAGTGATGTCGGATATATTGTTGTAGTTTGTATGTTCGCGTTGTGTAGATTTTTATTTCTAGATAAGCGATGTTTGTGTTTACTGATAACTTACCATTCTTACATTACTATCAAGGTATTTTTTTCGCTTATAGGAGTAAAACTTTGGCACTTTGATAGATTGTAATTCTATTTTAGTCAGTTTATTGGAAATGTCAAGCAGTGAAACAGTATTATTTACTTGGTAACGTTTTGGACATAGTTTAATGTTCATATTCACAAGATGATATGAATATGGACACTAAATTATGTTTGAAATGTTATCCAGTAAGTGATACTGTTTCACTGTGTGACAATTCTAATTAACTGACTAAAATGGAGTTCTGCGCTCTTATAAGTATAAAACTTGGGGACTATGGTTGGATGTAATTCCGTATTATATTTGTTTATTTGATATACAGCACACAGTGGTACAGTATTATACACTTGATGACGAGCATGAATTATTATTCATAATCACATTAATATAATCATACAACTCTCGACTTTTGATTTTATAGTCCCATCACCTCAGATTCTTTGATTTTGTTAGTAGTATAGGTGTTGCATCATTCCTATTACATGTGTTGGGTGTTGTTTCGACAACGAAAGATTGAGTAGTCAATCTCTTTCTCCTCCTAATTATATTGGACTTAAGTACAGTGGTCTTACCCCCACCCTATTGTGAGGTTGTGTGTTAATATATCCAAAGCAATAACCGAATTTTTCTCTAGATTATTGATCCTATTGAGGTCTGTCATTCTGTATTTGCCTAAATTCCTATGTTCTCTTTGCTTAGCTTACTTTGTGTTAGATTACTATCAGTGACCGTTGTTGTCATTTTTAATTCTGTTTTCTTAAAAGACTAGTGGACCAAATGAATTGGCTAGAGAACGTGAAAAAGCTTTAATGGAGAAAGAAATTAATCGTTTGTGCAATTCACTTCAAACATTATCGCGTTCCGCTATACCTTTGAGCAAACTAATGGATTTTGTACAAGAGGATTTAGAAACAATGCAACAAGAGTTTGAACGTTGGAAAAATGAAAATCATTCAATTAAATCTCAGTTGAAACAAGAAGAAACGTAAGTTGGGAAAATACTTGTAAAGTGGGCTGATTTCAGTATCGAATTATAAATCAATATCCACACTTAGTATGTTTTACAAATGGTAGATGAAAATGAAGCAGGCAGACTAATAACTGTAGTTATAATGGATATGCTGAAAATCGTCCTGCAATTTCGAGCAAGCGGTCAAGTTTACTCACAGCACAGTAAATGACTATTTTTACAGTGACATGGTGACAGCAGTAATAACAGTAGTAGTTCATTCTGTCTTGTTGTACGGTAATGAGAAATAGCTTTTTAAAGTAGAAGACATGAAGCACTTACTAGGTTTCGATCACAGATGTCTTCGTAATATTACTTGCATTTGGTGGAATTACTGTGTGAACAACGTTGACGTCAAGCTAAGAGTGCTAGACAAGATAAGGAGGTTGGTTGATGAGGTTGTCAACCCTATTCAGCTGAGATGGTCTGGATATATACTGAGCATGCCAAGTCATCGCCTATCTCGACGGGCAATGCTAGAGGGAGTTGCATTAGGTTAGGAGAGGGTTCAGGGTGACCATACCAAGACTTGGCAATCGATGAAATCTCTTAGTGTTGGTCTGAGTCATGTTAGGAGATGCAGACTGTCTGATTCGGTTCGTCGGGATGAAAGGAATCAACGGTTGTCATGGCGGAAAATCAGCCACAATAGCACAGGTGTATTCACTTCTTGATATCTTTTAAAGCTTGAATATTTGAACTAATCGTGATCTCAAACTTGTTTGTTCTCTAATACAATTTCGTTTGCTTTGGTATCACTCTTTTTCTGTCCACCTGTTCTTTGTATATTACTGAAAAGTGTACGAGGTTCCACTTTGTTTTTGTTAGTATCAGTCAGTCAGTGGTAGGATTTAAAAGATTACCGATAGGATTATAATATCAACTATATTAGCATGGAGCATGAATAACTAATGAAAATAGTGTTACGCATGCGAGCACCTTTCATGATTTCATGAGATATCACTCAGTGATTCATATGTAACGTCAAATGTTTGTATTATAGTCACTTTTCATCACGTGTACAAATCTCTTTTATCTGAAGGCATGATGACGGAAGTTACAAGATCTGAGTCCCTACGAAATTTATAAGAGTGATCTATGGATTATTTTTAATTTACATTACCATCTCTTTAATCACTTCAACGAATTTAGACTATCCTAATCTAATAAAAAGCCAAATGAACATTGAAGAAACCTACAACCTACATTTTCGTTAAAACTTCGTCAAGCTACTGATATCTCTTATTCAGTAGGATAATTTGTTATTTGGAAAAATCTTACTACTGCACCTTATTATTATTTGTCCCTTGGGTTCCTAGTGGAACATACGACTTCAGTAGTACGTCACTATTTCCTTGTTGTTTCCTCTTGTTATTCTGGCCATCTGGTCTTCAGTGTCAGTCTCGAGTGAGCGTAGGTCGCAGTTGTTGATGAATGCCTGTAGTTTGTTGGAAACGCTTTTCGTAACGTGCCACCGAGTCTCTCAACCATCACATAGAAGCACTGACTCAGTTGACTGATATTAGCGTTGAAAATCCGGATCTCGTTCACGCTTTATGCTGAGTGCAGTGCAGTGCAGTGCAGTGCAGTGCAGTCGAGTGCAGTCGATCTCCACACTGATTTCAGATTAATGCAGGAAGGCCTGTCTTGCTGTCTTTCCGATCCTGACTGCCTTGATATCCTCATCTGTGCTGCTGTTGCCTGTAGTTGAAACGAGTCTACCCTGCCTAGGTAGGTAGGTGAAAGAGGTCACTTCCTTTAGGTTTTTCTCTTTCATAGTGATTGGTGCTTGTTGTTGTTGTTGGTGGTGGTGGTGTTGGTTGGGTATCTTCATCACCTGTCTTCTCTATGTTCACTTGAAGTCCCGTTTTCGCCGCCTCTCCTGTCAACTTGTTGGTTTTTGCCTGTAGATCTTCGAGTTTGTGCGACAAGACATTACACATCAATCATCATCGGTGGCGAAATCCGATTCTTCTAGGGTCTTTTCATCGGTCCAGTCAGCATATGCCCATCTTCTCAAAGATCCTAGCAGTTTGTTGCATGATCCAGTACGGTCGATCACAGTCAGGAAGATCTCTAGTTTTCTCCGAGGAATGTGTAAGTATTTGATTGGTTGATCTCTCCCGTCTGGTTATGGCGCATGGATATCACTCCGTTGTGATTGGTCAATCTATTTTGTCAACCAGACAACAAACTGACCTTCATCAACTCATTCAAATAATATGGGTTAACCAGTTGAAACAATGTGATATCAGTGAACTGCAAGCAAATGAAATCAACTAGTCACAGGAAGTCAACCAATCGGTTTCAGCATACTCCAACCCAGTCATCAAGTGGCTAATCAGATTGCAGTCAGGCAGGATAGCACTTTATAAACATCTATCCACAACTAGTTTCTTCACTTCTTTGTTAATCTGTGATGCGAGGGTGACGATATTCAGCATGACATTGAAACGTTTGTTAACTAAAACTGCAGCTCGAAAGGCAACTTATCCATAAAATATAAGCACTCTCTAGTAGGGTAACAAATAATTATTATGAACTAATATTTATCTTGAATAGAAAGCAAAATATGCTTGTATCCTAATATGTAGACTTTCAGACTGAGGTCTTCTTTAAATCTCAGATTTGTCTAATGGATGTATTCATGTCAAACTCGCTAACATTAGTTGGGATTGAATTGTTTGTTACCTCAACTCGCACTAATACATTCACTAAGCAGCATTCAAGCTCACCAAATAACTCATAACCAAATTCTATGACTTAATTGTAGTATCACACTTACTATCTCCTGTAAATATTTCTTAACGATGATAATGATGTTGTTGTTTCTTTTTAAATGATGTCAGTTTGACGCAATCGTGTATAGAGCCACTAAAGCCCAATTAGAAGAATTAAAACAGTTCGAACAAGAAAAAATGAAAGCTATTGCTAAATGTAAAGCTAAAATACTTCATAATAATGAACGTATTCATAATTTACTGTTTAAATCATTGGAAAAAGTTTTCTGACTACTCCTGCTAAAGTTTGATTTATGATTAAGAAAAAAATACATTAAAAAGTATATTGTGTTGGTTCTCATAAAATGTTTCAGCTTCCGATTTCAATTTTTTTGTGTTCTGCGCCTACCTTTAGTAATTTGAACTATAGATGTTATTCACTTGAGCACTGTGGTAGAATTTAATTCCACATTAGACTTGTTCACTTGATTTATAACACATAGTGATATAGTATTATTTACTCGATAACGTTTCGAGCATAAATTACTGCACATAATCATATTAATGTGACATGATTATGAGCAATAATTTATGCTCGAAACGTCATCAAGTAAATAATACTAGATCACTGTGTGTTATAGATCAAATAAACAAATCTAATAAGGGATTCATCTGACCTTTTCATGTTGTCTTGTTCAAAATCTGTCGTTCGGAAAAGGTTTATACAAAATTTTGACAGTTTTAAAATACTATGAAATGCTATCACTACCCTTACGGCTACCCTGAAGAGCTTTTTGAAGTGGTCGGTCCATCGTTTCTGTTGTTTCTCCTCTTTGGTAACTGAGTTTCTTCCACTATCTCTTATTGGTTTCATCTGAGTTTATCTCTTCCCATATAGTAGCCTGGTTATTGGATATAGTGTTGTCAGGTCTCTCCTACCAGCAGCGTGTTTTGCTTCACTTACCAATGTGTCGTGGAAATGTCTTTTGTTTTTCCGTGCACTCTGCTTTATTTCTTTGTCCAGTGTAGTGTTTTATAGGTAATAGTCAATTCCTCTTTTCGTTTTTCATCCCTGCACTACACTGTACTGCACTGGTTCATCTTCTCCTTCGCCATCTTTCTCTCTCTCCTCTATCAGCTTCCATGTGTCCATCAAGATCCATTCCTTGTCTTGTCTTGTTTCTTCTCCCTTCCTAGCATAGTTATGCAGCTTTCCTTCCACGTCTATTTCAAAGAGTTCTAGTGTTGTTCCATGAAGGTTTCCTCGGGGATTTCGCCAAATATCTCCTATTTCTTTGCTGATGGCTGACTGGTGTGAAAATGTCCTTTGTAGTTTCGTTCTTGAGTTCAGTTTCTGGGTGTTGAACTTGAACTGTGGTCCATCACCAACTTCTTTGAAGGCTTTCAACTTGATTTTGAACGTATGTTCCATGCAATAGATAGTGAGTGGTATGAACCTACATCTGCTTCTCTTCTTTATCTGATCTTGTGTCCAGTAGACTGCGTCTCCACTTTCTTCAGATGAAGATGAAACAGACCTGGTTTTTAGTGTGTCCTGATGTCTGGTGAAATCCATGTCGCTTTGTGAATATCCTTGTGTTTGTACACACTGCCTCCAATCACCAAATCATTAAATGCGGTTTGCTAGGATAAGTATTTCATACTTCATTGTCAATCTGAGAGCACAGATTTGAGTAGTTGTTGACGGAATATAAGCTTTTGCTAAACTGGCTTTTGTGTCTAGAACCAATGGACTATCGTGCTCTGGTATCTGGTGCAAAATTTACATATGGTTCCCAAAATACTATCGCTTTTCTCATTATCCCAGACACTGTCGACCCACCTGTGGCAGACAGTGCAAATGACGGGAAATAACGTGGAGTATAAAGTCAGATGTTGTGTTGACAAGATGAACCAACAAAATTCGAAACCAGAAGAGGGCATATAGCCTATTCTGTATCACTACAATTAAACAAATGTCCAATTATGAGATGAATGTTAAATATATCAACGAATAGAATATGGCATATTCTACCTAAGTCCTCTCCTAGAAGATATATATAAGAAGGAATAGCTGCCTTCCATATAAGAGGGTGTCGGATAAAACAAACATGCAATATGCTCAGTGTTATTAAGAACTACCAGTTAGGAAATAAAGGGAGAGGTTCGGAATTCTGTGGGGCTGCACCAAAACGTTTTCTTTTTGAAAATTTTTACAAAATCTTCAAGGTATGATTGTGTGCAGTCAGCAAGGTAATCGATAAAAACAGTAATATTGTACTGGCGAATCGGGTTTATTAAAAGTAAATTGTCCAAACGCACCGTTGTGGCCAAAGAACTTTTCTTCCGGACCTTGTGCCTCTGTTACCTTCGCTAGCTATGGGTGATTTCCATACTTTCATTTCAAATTTGACCGCTGTTTTCGATGTTTCTGGTTACTTTGCTGACTACTCAGACTTGGCATGCGTGATATCTGGTTCCATAAACTCTGGGTTGATTCTGTCGATGCTAACCGTTTCTTGTCTACCGGGGTGCTGAACCATTACAGCCTTTCCTGATTTATTAATTGCTGTAAAAGATCTTTTATACGCGGACTACTGAAGTTTTCCCATGCCGTTGTGTCGTACAAAAACGTGGGTGCAGTGTGAGATGCGCTGAGGTACGTACACTTAGTTGTATCGGTATTGTGGGGAATAAGGTCATGGTAAATTCATCTGGCGCAGTAGTTGTTGCATACAGCCAGGTCTGGTAGAACGCCTCTTGCTGGGCTGAAATATTCTCCAGGTAGTTCCATAAACTAAGCCGACAGTATAGCGGCCAATTTCTTGGTTGACACCTGAACGCACACCAGGAGAACTAGTGGTAATTTGTCACTTCATTTGTTACCAGTCTTTACTACAATTAGTGCTGCTTTTACTTGCCCATGGAACCATAAAACTTCCACTGGATGCAGGATGGTGCTCCGCAGATTTTATGCGCCCTATCCCGAGAAGTTTGGTTAACTGTTGAGATACAAAACTTTTGAATTGTGCACCTCTGTCCGGAGTGATGACACTTGGGACACAAAAGTCACAAATCCAGTGTTGAATGATGTTTTTCGCCACTGTTTCGGTGGATATATCATTCAGAGGCATTATCACTGATCATCTTGTGAATCTGCCTACACGCGCTAGAATGTGGCTGAAACCATTTGATGGGGGTAGTGGCTCAACGATGTTAGCACCTTTATGGTCAAATCTACCTTCCGGTATGGAAAATTTACTGGTGAGCAAAAGAATACGCCTCTGCACTTTTGATCGCTAAACAGACTCTGAACTACTGTCGAAGATCTCGATTCAAATTTGGCCAGATGTATCGGTCAGCAATTAACTTAACTGTAGTTCAATTACCAGTATGAGAAATGTCTTCAATCCTAGAGAAGAACAATGATCTCGTTGAAAGAGGCACAAGCGTACGCGTTTTGCAATTGCATATATCACAGCTGATGGATGAAGAGTCATCGAGCGTCACGTCTTCGAGACACGGTAAAGCGTTTGGATAGCCTTTAAACTACTTTAGGTGTTCATCTGCCGCCTTCATTTTTTGCCATATCAGCTGGGTCGTGCTCCAAGATGTTTGCGTACATACGAGATAAAGCATCAGCGGCCTCATTTCTATAGCCACTAACATATTTTATGTCTAAAGTGAATTGTGAAACAAATGTTGAACTTCTTGCGGCTAGTAGTTGTCGCTCTTTAAGTCAGTTGCTTTTGTAAGGGGCTTATGGTCAGTGAATGCTGCGCCCTTAAAGCATATATCCGAAACGCTTGATAACTCTGCAAATCGCTAATAATTTTCTGCTGACTACACTATATCGCGATTAAAAAACGTTGAGTCGTTTCGAAAAGAAAGACAATAATTCCCACTGACCATGGACGAAATTTTGCAATACTAAGCTTAAAGCATCTGTAATAGTTGCTAGTGGTGCTTGGGAATCACCAAAAAAGGGAATGGTTCCAGAAATTAGAGCAAACTTCAGTCTGCCAAAATCAACAAGGGCCGCTTGTGCCATGTGAAAATTTATTCCGTCCTTGCAGCAAGTGTGTCAGCGGTCGGGTTATTTCAGAACAATTAGGTATGGAACGTCGGTAGAAGTTTATTTGCAGTACCCAGTAAACCTGGTTATGATCGTTATCTACTGTAAACTTTGCATTCATTATTGACTCCGACTGAATGATGAATAACGTTTAACGTAACTGTTGAATCTTACCTGCTGGACTTGTCCACCAGAATGCTTGGAACAAACGCCTTAAACTTCTATCACTACCTTCTTATTTGCTGCGTTGTGGCTGTCCAAAGCAAATTGTCCTGAAAGTTATCTATAAGACCCTGCGTCGTAGACGCATGAGCCCGCCGTATTAACCCAAGGAATTTGAGTAGCTACTGTAACGGGAAAATGATCTGAAAATCCCCCCTGATCATCCTATTTGACAGCTTTGACATTTATTTGAATATTTTCACCCTCGTTATGGATGGTGTGCCTGGCTGATGCAATGTTATTTGGTTGTTTGACTGTCTTCTTTGTCTTTGTATGGTTGGGATTTATCATGAATATTTCACTTTCCTATTATGTGACGCTGGACTACTGGTAACGTGACGTTGTTTTACTGCGCCCGACATTATGTGTTGGTTCAACTTACGGTTGTGCTGTGACTTAACCGTTCGCCTATTGACTGTCTGCTGGAAACGTTTGTTTGTTGATTTGATCCATTCGGTCGAGAATATTCTTGTTGACTCTCAGATACTTTAAAGTTGCATTTGTTTAACCAGTTTTTACCATATAGTGTGTGTTTCTGCCCAGGAACGCTTGGGATGTATAGATGCCCAACGGCACTGTTGAGGTATTTTGTAATTTTGATATAACTTATTGTTGCTTTGATAGTGACACAGGTTTTGTCACGAATCTGCCGCTGATTTACTACGAACCGTGTTTTGATATTTTGATCCGACCTTTGAATATGCGTTGCTCGCGGAAGTTCGGAAGCTATACAGTAGAACTCAGGAAGTAGGCAGATTCACGTTAGTTGACATCACCTAGCTGTTTCCCGCATTCAAACAAAGATTACTGGAGTTGGGCTGTTACAGCTTCCGAAACCAAACTTAAACACTATGTTCTTCATTTGCATCTGT